GGGAGGGGGAGGGGGAGAGGCTCTGGTCCCGGCGGCCGCTGTGGCCAATCGGCGTGCAGTATGCAAATGAGGGGGCGCGTCACACAGCGCCCGGCGCAGGCCTGGGCTGCCCTTCCCCCCTGCTCCTGGCTCAGGCCGGCCCGGAAATGCGGCTGCGGCCCGAAACCCAGGCGGCCGGCCCCACGGCCGGGCCTGGTAGCCCCCTTTTCCTCCCGCGGTCCTCGAAGGGACGAGAATCTGAGGTACCTGACCTGACGTAGGGTTAGGAAGGAGATGGTGTCTGGACGCACGACCCCGGGAAATAATAGTCATAATTATCTGCGTTTACCCACCGCCCCACTCCCTTAATCCCCACAGCAATCGTAGGAGGCAGCTTCTGCTATTGTTCCCATTTTACCGGGAAACTGAGGTCCACAGTGGTCTAGCAGCTCTCCAAAGCTTATCCAGCTGATACGAGGTAAAGCTGAGATTCTCACTTTGGCCCGATTCCATGGTTCTTGCCACAGCATCAGGGCCAGGTTCTTGGATGGGAAGAGCTAAAGGTATCCATCCGTGTTAGAACCCTGGGAGCCAGAGCCTCAGAACAAGCCAATTCCTACTGTTGTGCATCACCTCCTTCCGGCAGTCTCCTCTGATGCCCTGCCCATCCAGGCTGGGTTAGGTGTCTTTCCCTCTCACCTCTGAACTGGGTTGAAAATGACAATGTCCATTTAAACATGTGCCTGCCATGCTAGGCTTGTCTTGTTCCCTGCACTGGCCCCAGTACCCAAGCCTGGCCTATAGTTAATAACTTCTTTGTGAAATATGTGATTCATTAAATGAAGAAGGTAGTAGGGCTAACGAGGGTTGAGGAATTCGCGAAGCTTCTGGAATGGGACACCTGGTAATGGAAGGTTGGAATGGCTGAGGTAGCAGATGGGCCAGCCACGCCCATCCTCTGAAGCCAGGTGATGTGGCTCACAGGGGCAAGGCAAGTCTCTTGCTGTGTGCTTGGGGCTCTTAATGTCCTCAGGAGAATGGAACCACTGTCTGTGGCTCTGAAGGGGCAGAGGGCCTTGCAAGGGACATTCCTGAGGAGAGTGGAGGCCAGGTTGGCACAGGGTGTGGCATTACTCTGGGTCTGGAATGTGGTAGAACCAGTGGGTCAGGGTGGTTAGGGCCTCAGACTCTGGCCCTCAGCTGGCCTCTTCTGCCACAAGCTGCCATCTTTGTAGTCTTCTAGGATATAACCCCTCACACCTTCCCCGACTCCCCAAGCACAAAGACGTGACTGAAAAGAATACATTTATTGGGGAAAAGAAATAGAGGAGAGGGTGAGCACCTCTGGGTTAGGAGGCCACAGCAGGTGGTCCATGGTTGTCCAGGTAGCGTCTCAGGGCTGTTGGGTAATCAGTTATGACGCCAGTGGCCCCCAGGCGGAAGGCCACTTCAAAATCTGACTCTTCATTAAGGCACCAAAATACCACCTAGTGGGGAGGGAGGGGCTTCTAGTTTCCCAACAACTTTGCCTAGCGCTTCCCCTTGTATCCAGATGCTGGGAGCTCTCCTCTGTGGAGACCTCCCAGCAGTGCTGTGCTGGAGCTGACTGTCACATTTTCAGGAATTTTGAAAACTGGTTATTAAATACAGCCATTATTAAGTATTACATTACATAAACATACAATTCAATAAATTATATTAAAAACAAAGGTAATAAATACTCAAAACTCATCACTTCCTAATTATTTTACCACATTTTACTGTTACCCATGTTCTGGAGGTTATCTACATTTATCGAATGTATAAGACAGAAATAGTATATAATGGTGTGCTACCACACCACACATCTCTTCCCAACTCTGTTCTGTGAATTCATGTTGGTAGCCTGAAATTGGCCAAGGTGGGAGTATATACAGCAGGGAAATTACCTAATGTTCAAATCAAGGGGTTTCTTTCCCCCTGGGAGAGCTGGTAGTGGAATGTTTACCAGCCTGCCTCCCAGCCTGCCTCCCAGCCTGCCCATATCCTGCTGCTCTACATCTTCCCTGCCTTCTGAGTCCTCTCCTGCGGGCACTGAAGCAGGCTGAGCTGGTATTTGCACCCTGGGCTAAGTCACTGGATGGACCTCTCAGTTTCTTAATTTCACAAATGAGAGTGATGGTCTATCCTCCCAGTGTTACGGCGAAGACCGTGGAGCAGGAGGCCTGACCTGAAAGAGCTATGTCATCCCCATGCCTTGCTCACCCCAACATCCAATCAGTGGCCGAGTCCGGCCTGTCTGTGACTTAACCCTTCCATCCATCCCCACTGCTGCCACCTAAGCCTCAGTCCTGTCAGTGGCAGCATCAGGCGCCTAGTGAGACTCTGCTTCCACACTGGCCCCCACAATCCCTTCTCCACGTGGTGGCCAGAGTGACCCTCACTCGACAAGGCTTAATTGAATCAGGTCTCTCGCCTGCTTAAGGCCCTCAAAAGCTTCCCTCTCCTTTGGGCTGAAGTCCAGGTTCCTTACTGAGGTTCACAGGCTGCCTGCCGCAGCCTCTCCTGCCTTCTCCAGCTCCCCTGGTGCCACTTCCTCCAGACTGCAGCCTGGTGGGACCCCTCTCAGTTCCTCTGCTGGCCTCTTGCTTCTCATGACCTTCCCACATGCTGAGCCTCCTGCTGAGATGCTCTCCCTTTCCCCTCCCTGACAGCCGGCTCCTCACTGCTTCTAGAAGGCCTTCTCTGACCCCACAGACCACAGCACTCTTCTTCCTTTCTGTCCACTGGCTGCCCCTGCGATGCCTGCTTTTCCTCCTCCTCTGCCCCTCATGGTAAGCTCCCTGCTCCTTCCCCGGGACCACAGTGCCTGGAACTGTGTTCTCAACACAGTCAGTTCCCAACAGAGGTTTGCTAATTAAATGACCTGGTCAGAGCTGATGCTTGGTGGGTTGGAGGAGGGGGGTGGCCTGGGCTGGTCTTCCCCTTTTCTGGTCTCTTCCCAGCCCCCCTCATCAGGGATCAGGACAGTTCAATACATCATCATTATCGTAACGGCTAGCCTTTATCAAGCCCTTACTAAGTATCGGCTACATATCCAGAAGAGTTAAATATATCATTATCCCCATTTTACAGATGAAGAAACTGAGACTCAGAAGGTGATCTTTCCAAGTGACCCAGCCAGTTAATAAAAGAGCTGTGACTGGAGTGTCGTGCTGGGCCCACACTGTGAACAACCCACTTGCTCACCTGCACCCCTCGCTGCTCCAGGTGTTGAATCAGACTTTTCCTCATGATAAGCCTGGTGGGGGGCGGGGTAGCAAAGCCTGTGATGAGAGGGGACTAAGGAGAAGGGCGGGTCTCTGTGGGATCCCTCCTCCTAGACTTCTCGCCCACCTCACCATTTGGAAACCACAGCCGCCAGCTGATTCAGCCCAGAGCATGAAAATGGGAAGTAGGTCCTGTGGAGAGGTGGTGTCGTGGTCAGCCCCTTGGGTCTCTCTCTGTCACAGGGGTGGGGTGGGGGTGGTAGTGACCGCCCCCCAACCCGTATAACCCCACTCCCCCTAGAAGAACCTTTGCGGCTGCCCAGAGGAACAAGTCACCCATTGCTCAGTGATTTCCTACTCTGGTATCCTTGACTCCATGCTTTGAGGGTGTGCCCCTCCCCTCACCGTTTTATAGAAGAAGAAACTGAGTCTTGGAGAACTAAAGTGACTTGCCCGAGGTCACACAGCAAATCCATGGTGGGGCCAGGGCCAGGACCCAGCTTGATTCCCAAACTGTATACGCAGCTGGAGGTCCTCCTGGTTAGGCCTGACCAACTTCCTGAGACCAGACAGCATTTTATTTGGTTGGCTACTTGTCCCTAATTGTTCCACTCCAGAGTGACATTATTTATGTTTTTTTAATGATGAATTTTTTGTTGTTGTTGTTATTGTCTTTTTTTGTTTTGTTTTGTTTTGTTTGGCTGCGCTGTGAGGCATGCGACATCTTAGTTCCCCGACCAGGGACTGAACCCGTGCCCCCTGCAGTGGAAGAGTGGAGTCCTAACCACTGGACCTCCAGGGAAGTCCCGGGGTGACCTTAGAGGCTTTCACAGTGTCCCAGGGCAGGCTCTGCTGTGTGACCTTGGGCAAATTACAGAACCTCTGAGCCTCAGATTCTCCATGGGGGTCATGATTCCTGTTATCTCCCGAGGGTGCTGCAAGGTAAGGCTCAAATAAACTAAAGGATGTGAAAACACCTTGCAAACCCTGTATAAAAAGTTAGATACACCAAGTTTGTAGTATAATGATCTCTTTGTGGCAAGGGATGATGGGGGTTGGCTGGGAGCTTCCCTCAGGACGACAGAGGGGAGCAGAAAGCACTGGGGCCGCCACAGAGGAGGTCTCAGAAGGCAAAGGGAGGGTCCTAGCCTGAGAGCTGGTGAATTATCCAAATTCCTGATACTTTGCCCAGCTGTTACTTTGTTAAGCCTTGTCCCCAAGCAGGGAAATGCTTGCCTTTCTGTTTGAGAATCAGAGTGATGCTGTAATTAATAAATATTTGTCTTCCCACCCAGACGGTAAGCTCATGAAGGACCTCTCCCCACCCACATTGGTCTTATTTACTAGTGTAAGTGCACCTGAAACAGAGTAGGCATTCAATAACTCTTTGTTGGATGACTAGATGAACAAATGAACCCTTGTCCTAAAACTCCACCCACATCAACGCACATTTGCATAGGATTTTAGGGGGTTCGTGTCCCCCTTAGTATTCATGAATGCTTGGTGAGCCCACTGTCTTCAAAGGACCCCGGATGGGAGATTATCCTTGAGGGTAGCCAGGGAGCTGGGGACACTGGATCTCCTGCTCCACACAGGACCCTGCACAAGGGGGTTTGAAGTGGGGGGTGTTTTGTGTTTTTTTTAAACTTTTAATTTTATATTGCAACATAATTGATTAACAATGTTGTTTTAGTTTCCGGTGTAGGGTCGAGGGGGGTGTTTTTGAGGACAGAAGCCTGGGGGAGAATGAGGAAGGGAGACGGGGACCCTGTAGGTACCTGTTGATGATGGTGGGCAGGAAAGAGATGAAGAACCTCTCAGGGATCGAGACGAAGGGCAGCAGCCCCAGGTAATAGAGCAGCAGCACCCAAAATCCTCGGCTTATTGTGAAGGCGGTGGGCATCTCAGGGTTCTGGAAGCCAAGGGGAAGTAAGAAAGGGGATCAGTCTGCTCCTGTGGAAGCAGAGAGGAGGCTTGGGCTGCACAGTTTTCAACATTCAGGAAACCCTTCTACCTGCAGGATCAAAGCCACATCTTGGCCCAGCGTTCCAAGCCCAGAGCCCGCTCCTGTCCCTCTGGCATGCCTGTGCTCACACACCTTCCCCATCTCCCCCGCTCTCCAAATCCCAGCCCTGGAGACCCTGCTCAGGGCTCCTGCAGAAGCCCCAGGCCCCTCTGGCCTAAGCCCGTTTGGGAGGGGCGCTGGGCCCAGGGAGGGGCGCTGGGCGCAGGGAGGGGCGGTGGCGCAGGGAGGGGCGTGGGCGCAGGGAGGGGTGGTGGCGCAGGGAGGGATACGGGACTCACGGCGGCCTTGCACTTCTTCATGACCGAGCTCTTCTCCGAGGCCCAGATGGTGATTCCATCGCGTTCATAGTGCCTCACCAGGCCCGCTATCTGGGAGGAGGAGGAGGTGATGGGGAGGCAGGCCTCCACCCCGCCCTGGGCCCTCGCCCGCCCTTGCCCACAGCACCACCTTGCGAATGAGCTCTTCATTTTGCTCTTTGACCTCCACGCTCATGGGCATCCGCGGGAACCTCCGGAACACGTCCTCCAGACGCACCATGCGCCTGTCTGACCCGCATGCAAAGTGGCCTGAGGGGTTGTGGGAAGAAGGATCAGAGAAGGATGCTGGGGTTGGGGGGTGCAAGCCCGGGGGGAGGGCGTGGGTCCCAAAGGGGAAAAGAGGGCAGGAGGTTGAGGCCGTGACCCCACTCCAGCTGGCTCAGGCCGGCGCTGACAGCCCACACGCTCACCCGGCGAGAAGTAAACCTCCAGCTCTTCCTTGTAGAGGGGCAGCTCCTATAGGGAGAGCAGGGAGCATGTCACCAGGAGTCACGCGTGGAGGCACGGTGGTTCTCTGGGCACGGTTGGGGTGCTGGGGCAAGGCCCACCTCAAAGTCCAGGCTGCCCACGTCCCTATTCACGCCTGACTGGCGGGACAGGTTCTTGTCGTGTGACACCACCACCACGCCATCCCGAGTCAGCTGGCAGTCGAGCTCCAGGAAGTCGGCTCTCTGGGCCACGGCGCTATGGGAGCGAAGGTCAGTGAGTGGCCGAGGGATGGGGGATGCGCCAGACAGCAGGGCGGTGGGGACGTTTAGGGGAACATGAGGCAGTTCTGGCCAGATGTGCAGGCTGTGCACTGCATGACTCCAGGGGGCTCCAGTCACCCCGAGCAGGAAGTGAACGGCACCCCTTAGCGTCATGCCTCGTACAGCTGGCACAACCTTACCCGGCAGCTTGGCCAGGCAGGTGGACTCACTTTTCCATGGCCTCCATGGTGCTCTCCAGGCGCTCTCCAGATCCTGTGTGGGGCATCTAGGGTGGGTTCCTGTGGCCTGGCCCCGCCCCCTGCCTCATCAACCCCAGGCAGGCCGGGCTGAGCAGCCTCCTCTTCCCTGTTCCACATCCTGCCCTGCCACCCGGCTCTCCGCCCACCTCGAACTCTGCCCTCCTTTAACATCCTGCCCTTTGGACCTACCCCTCTCTGCTGTCTACCCTGGCACCTGCCTTGCTATCCTCACTCCATCCTCGGAAGCCCCCACCCCGTCTACCCCAGCCCAGCTCACCTCCCCGGTGGGCCCCCAGGCGGGCACAGAAGGCTGAAACCCACGGCGTGTGCAGCAGGCGAGGTCGGCGCAGGAAGAAGATGGAGAGCATGACATAGCTGCTCAGGGCGGGCAGGGTGTAGTACAGCAGAGGGCTCATGGCCACGCTGCTTCTTCAGGTTCTGGCTGCCGCAAGCTAAGCCATTCCCGGTGGACTGTGTTGCCTCGCTGACTGCCTGGCTGATGTAGGCTGGCTCCACCGCCGGCTGCCACCACACCCCTTGGGACCTGCTGAGCCTGCTTCTGGCCTGAGGCCAGACTGCAGGGCTCAGCTGGGGTTGGGGCAGAGGCAGGAGTAGAGGCCAGGCAGCTCTGGCCCGCGTACCCCCAGGCCCTTCACACACCCCAGAATCCCTCTCTCCGTGGCCACACTGGGGAATCAAGTCCCCCCCCCCCCCCCCCCCCGGCCGCAAGCTAAGCCATTCCCGGTGGACTGTGTTGCCTCGCTGACTGCCTGGCTGATGTAGGCTGGCTCCACCGCCGGCTGCCACCACACCCCTTGGGACCTGCTGAGCCTGCTTCTGGCCTGAGGCCAGACTGCAGGGCTCAGCTGGGGTTGGGGCAGAGGCAGGAGTAGAGGCCAGGCAGCTCTGGCCCGCGTACCCCCAGGCCCTTCACACACCCCAGAATCCCTCTCTCCGTGGCCACACTGGGGAATCAAGTCCCCCCCCCCCGCCCCCCACCAGCTCTGCTACAACACTCCCCCTTCCCACTGGTATGTGCGCCCGGGGTACGTAACATGCCACCCCTTACCATTTCCAGAGAAGCCGGGGGTGTATAGTGTGTCCCTGAGACACTCCAGAATCACCCCCAGCCAGTTAAGACAGGAAGCCATTAGAGCAGGGACAGAACAGTGACTAAGGGGGAGATTGACCCCACTCCGTCTAGGAGTCTGGAACTCCTTACACTTCCAGCCTCAACCCTGGCCATCGGGGGAGCCAAAGGCCACCGCTCCAGGTAAAGCCACAGGTGGGAAGCAGCGGGGCTGGAGACTCAGTCCTCAAAGCAGCAAGGATTACGGTCAGGGCATCGGCGAACACAGACAGAGCCAGGGCCATCCATAGACACACCTCTATATTTATATATTAGATACAGGCACGGGGTGGGCAGGGGCACTGGGCTCTCCAGGTGCCCCCGCCTCCACTTCTGTTCACCCACACACAGAAGCAGCAGGGACGTTAGATGTGGCAGCTTTGTGGGGGAGGGTTTAGGTCTGCTCCTCAGGGACACTAGTCCTTGAGTCTTAGGAATGTTCCTTCAGGGAAAACGGGGTGGGGTTTTAATGAGCTGAGTGGGGCAGGGCTGGCCCTGAGTCCCCACTCAATGTCCTCCGTGTCCCTCCCCCACTGCCCCTCAGTAGGTCCCGGGGCAGCCAGAGCCCTTGAATTCCAGAACTACCAGAGACTGGGAGAGCTGGGCAGATGGTGGCAGAGCAGCAGAGGGGAATTTGCTTTGGGGCCACCTGAGCCCCTCAGGTCCTCAGGTGAGGGGGGAGGGCGCGTTGGCCTGCCTGAAGCAGGATGCCTGAGCAAAGCAAAGGGAGGTGGCCAGGCCTGCCCTCTGCCTCGACCTGGGCTGTCGGGGTCTGGGCTGGGCACAGAGTCCATTTTCTAACAGTCCGGCAGGGGAGGGGCAGGCAGGAGGCAGGGCCTAAACAAAAAGGCAGGCAGGAAAGGAACCATTAGCACCCGTGAGCAGACCTGCCAGAGCCCCGACCTCCACTTCCCTCATTTCGTCCTCACAGCCTGGCCTCTACTCCTGCCTTATGGTGAGTGTGATGCGGCTGGGTTTCCTTATCTGTGAATGCGGATGACATTAGTACCCATTTCAAGGTACTGCTATAAGGACTAAGTGAGTTAATACATGCAAATCTCTTACAACAATGCTTGGTGCTCGGGAGGTGTTTGCTCTCATTATCAGGACTGTGTCCAGGAAACTGAGCTGCAGAAAGGTGAGGTGTCTTGCACAATATCACACAGCCCTTACTGAGTATCAGAGCCAGGCTTTGAACCCAGGTGTGTCTGCCTTGCTGTTAGCAGGTCACAGCTGGCCAGAGACAGAGAGGAAACTAGAGGAGGGACAGAGAGCAGTGTGGGTGGCAGTAGCCCCAGCCGGGTCCCCCAAAGGTATGGGAACTGCTGACCTGGACACCAGGTGTGAAAAAGCCTGGCATGTGGGTCAGGCCGGATGCTGCCGGCTCCTCCCAAAGCAATTACTGCCCCACCTGCCTCTCTGCCCATCCTGGGGGAGCCAAAGCCTGGCTCTGTTCCTCAGATGGGTGAGAGGGGGCCCTCAGTGACCTGGGGCTGGAGTGTGCAGGGTGTTGACAGGTGGGAGACATGTGGGGCTGGGCGACCACAGGTCTGTGGCTGAGGCAAGCTCTGGTCCTTCTGTTGCCACCGTACATGTGGCTCACGGACGTGAGCAAGCTTGTGACTGCGTGGAGGCATGCTAGGCACCCTGGTCTCAGGGTGAATCTGTGCGTGGGTGGTGGGGAGCACTCACCAGGCCCCAGGGAGCAGAGGCATCTGTCCAGGTTAGGGGGCCTCCAGCACCCCAGGCTGGAAACGGGCTGTCTCCTGGAAGATGAGCTCCTTCAGCCGCTCCTTGGGTAGATCATCCAGCTCCATGTCGAAGGTGAAAGGTTCCTCGGCCACTGGCTGAGTGGCAAAGCAATGGGGAGGCTCAGGACAGGGACTGAGGGATGCCCACCCATCCACCTACCTGCCAGCCCTGCTGCTGGTGGCTGGCCCACCTCATCTGTTGGGTCGTAGTACTGTTCCAGGTAGGGGTGAGCCAGTGCTTCTTCCACTGTGATCCGTTTGTTGGGGTTAAAGGTCAACATCCGGTCCAGCAGGTCAAGAGCTAGGGAAGCACAGGTGTCAGGGGTCAAAGGGAAGGTCAGAGGAGCTCCCAGAAGCATTGCTTTTCTTCTCTGTGTCCAGAGGCCCAGGTAGCTACTGGGCCCATGTACCTTCTTCTACACCCGGTTTTTATCACGCACTAGCCAAGTCTCTCTCACCTTTGGGGTCCGACTTGGGAAAAAGCTTGGCCCAGGCCACCTTGGTCTTGGAGGGTAGAGACTGTAGGTAGTTTCGGGCCTTCATGTTGATGATACAATTCAGGTCCTCCTGGGAGGGGGAGCCCAGGATACCTGTAGGTAAAGCAGGTGACTTGGTGAGCAATCTCTCCCTTCTGAGAACAGAAGGCACCAGGAACAAGAGGCTCCACCAACCTGCTCCAGGCCACCAGCCAGTACTATGGTGGTGAAGAGCAAGGGGTCTGGATTCAGGCAGCCCTAGGTTCAAATCCAGGCCCTAGCATTTCCTAAGCATGGGGTGTATGTAGCCTTACTGTTCCCATCTATCAAATGGGGACAGTATCTATACCTCAGTGAACTACTGTGAAATGCTGTAGGGGCCCCACACATGGTCGTCCTCCTGACCTGACTCCCACAGACTCACTGACCCTGACCCTAAAGAAATCTTACCTCCAATAAGTGAAATCTCCCTCCCACTCAGCTGACCAGTCCCCCCTCACCCAGAATGTGGTTGAGCTGGTCCAGGTAGTGCTTGCCCGGGAAGATGGGCCGGTTGGAGAGCATCTCAGCCAGAATGCAGCCCACAGACCAGATGTCGATGGACTTGGTGTAGCCCTGGGGAGGAGGAGAAAGTGGTGGGCTCCTGGGCCAGCCTCAACCTGTTGTTGAGCCAACCCTGATGTTTGCGCCTACCCACAACCCCCGACCTAGGTTCAACACCAGCCAGGGAGGCAGAGGGCAGAGGCCCAGAGGAGCTAATCCACAGTTTCTTTCCGGAGCCCAAGGACCAGAATAATGTGACAAGGCCTGGGGGTAGACTTCCTGCATCATGGGGATCACTGCTTGGCTTAGAGGCAGCTCCAGGGCTTTGTGGGACACAGCCCCTTCCCTTCAGGGGTGGGTGGCCCCCCTACCTTGGAGTTAAGCATGATCTCTGGGGCCCGGTACCAGCGTGTGGCCACGTATTCCGTCAGAAAGCCAGTGTGGTCGTGCTCAGGATCGGCAATCCGGGCAAGACCAAAATCACAGATCTAGAATGCAACCCAGGCTACTGAGCTCGGTGCTCAAGGCCTCCTGGGCCCAAGTAATCATATCACTGCGTCTCTGCCCATGCTGTTCCCTTTGCTTGCGATACTCTCCTACCTATGGGGTGGGGGGGTGTACTGGGCACCTGCAAGCCTGAGACCCCAGGGGTAGGAGGAGACTGGCCCTCAACTCTCTGACCTTAAGGTCGCAGGTGGTGTTGATGAGCAGGTTGGAGGGCTTTAAATCCCGGTGGAGCACGTTGGCAGAATGGATATACTTGAGGCCCCGCAGGATTTGGTAGAGGAAGTAGCAGATGTGGTCGTTGCTCAGCTGCTGGCTTTTAAGCAACTTGTACAGGTCTGTCTCCATCAGGTCTTGCACAATGTAGCTGAGGTTGGTGCCAGAGACCCCCCAGATGGGGGCAGCGAGAGGCACTTGGTTAAGAAGAAGAGCCTTTGGTGAACACGCTTCATATCCCTCCAGCTGATGCTCCTGGGACTCAACAGATCTGCCAACTCATATCATGAGCTGGGCAAGGCCCATACTTGAGCAGTTGGGCTCAAGGCCTCTGCCGGATCTCAGCCAGTGACCCTGACCAAAGCACTTCAGTTCTGTGGCCTCAGTTTCCCTACTGGGAGAAAAGGGCTAAGAAACTGTGGGAAGCAGGAGAATGTCCCATTTAAGAGCAGTAATTCTGGAGTTCACCTGCCAGTGTCTGAATCCCCACTGCCCTGCTCATTGGCTTTATGGCCACAACCTGTCTGCACCTCTATTTCCTCATCTGTAAAGTAAGGGGAAAAAATTGTTCTTTAGAAAGTGGTTGTGAAGATTAGCGGAGAGATGACCCATGTAGAGCAGCCAGCCCAGTGCCTGGCATGTTGTAAGTGCTCGGCAAACATGAACGAGTACTGCTGTTATAAAAGCCTGAGCCGCATGGCTCTTGAGAAGGTTAAATGAGATAATGTATGAACACCATCTGGCATGCAGTAAATGTTTGCTTAAAAATAAATGCCTGCGTTATGGGAATGGTTTGTACAAGACGATGAG